TTCTCATTGAGAAAACAAAAAAATCGTAAATAACTCAAGATTTTACTATGATAACCGTAGTTTGACTTCTAAACAAAGTTTTCAGCACGAAATTTTAGTTATATAGCACACCCAAATATTGAATTTAAAGTATGTACATATGACGAAATGGTTTTTTTTTATATAAAATTCCAAATCCATTTAAATTCCGTTTCCACCTACAACATATATATGAGAAATCGCTTGATACTTACTGTGTGATCTTATAAATTTATTTTTGTGTTAGTATATTTTAATTCATAATTTGTGTTATTCCATGAGTAATAAGCCATTTTGACAAGGCGATCTATACAACCCTAGCATTGTCCAGAAAAAAGAACTAGTTCATTTTTGCTGCCATACATGTAATTTCGGATACTGATCTTTATGAATGTTAATTCATTAAAAATGATATTTGCTTTCTTTTGAATGTAAAGTCGTCATTTTAAGTTTAAGGTTTCGTCTTTCGTCAGAAGAATTTGGGGTTTCGACTTTCATCTGAGGTTTAGTCTTTTTTGTTTACTTTCGTCTTTCGTCAAAAGGTTTCGTCTAACAACTATAGGTATGACTGTATTAAGTTTAACAATTTTTTAATAATTATATTTGTATATGAATATTGTGAGGAAATTTTAATTCTTTAATCTAACTGGTTTTCTTTTTGTAGCTATTCGGAAATTTTATCATTTATTAAGCACTTACTACTTTAAGCAGGTTTTGTTTCGATTTGTAACAGCTGCTCTACCTTGTTTAGTGTGCAGAAAGTGCATCAGGGTACGTCTAGTATAACCTGTGTTTGCATAAGGAGAGCATCCTCCTGCATTGCGAATACAAAGTAAATTTCCAATTATATTATATAATTGGAAGCTTTACGACGTACCCCGACGCACTAAATAAGGTAGGGCAGCTGTTAAAAATCGAAAAAGACCTGCTACTACTTTGTCTACATTGTATCCTAAACTAAACAAGGAATCTTCCATACTACTGTCCTACTCTTTTTATACTACCAATAACTGAAACATTGTAGTCTGAGGAAACTTTATTAACGCAAAAACTCAGGCTTTAAATACATTTAAATTTACTATGAATTACTTCGCATCCACCCGCGTTAGAAAAGCCAATCAAAATTTTGCTCACAATATTTATCCGAAATAAACAATCCCCCCCTCAAAATACGATATATTCTATTTATTGTTTTGATAGAAATAAACAATTACCGGAACTTTTAAGCCTCCACCATTATCCCAGGAGTCTCACAATATTCTTGAGTCTCGGATCATACCCTATCACAGGTTAAACTGTCACGTGCTCATTCGGGTAAACCTTATACGGTATGTTGTGCTAAATTGAATGTAGTTCAATAGCACTATAACGATAATCATTGTTCTATTTTTGACGCCATTTAATATCTGTTTTGATTGTTCTGTGACAGAAATAGAAATGTGTCCGAACCTATAATTTCTGGCACCTAATTATAATTATTGAGATTGAGAATTAGTGGTCTTATAGTAAATAGCACTTGACACACATGGTGGCATAATTAGAAATTTACATAGATACTTTCTAGACATAACATATGATTATTTTTTCTAAGCCTAATAGCTTCTCTCTTAAACAGGAGTATATAAGACCAATTTGAGATTCTAAAGATGTTCTCCTTTACGGCAGCGGATATAGAAATGACGGCAGGGTAGCCAATTTAAATTTACTATAAGGATTATCTGTACAACAGATATAATTATAATTTGATTGCACAATGTCACTCAATTTTGTATATATAAGTTATAATTTTGGAACTTCTCCTTTATTGAGAACGCCTTATATATTATTTACTTTGATGATTGCTTATTTGAAAGATTATATATAGAGAGGGTGAAAAAAAGTAAAGAACAAATATAGAGATAAAATTTTTTAAACAGCTTTAAAGCTTAGATGACCGAAAAAATTAATGATATCGAAAATGATGAAAATTCGAAAAAAGGAAGTAAGTTGTTATACCAACATTAACATGAAAATAAAGTTCTGTAGTTAAAGTTTTTAAAATCAGAAAGTTAATTCATTTAATATCTTAATACTGTGACATTAGTACATGACTATTTAGAACGACTGGAAACGGATTTAAAACAACACGGTGTAAAAAAATACGATTACTCGCAATTTAATGCTCTCGAAATTGTCGGAAGTGGTGGATTCGCAACTGTATATTCTGCCATTTTTCAAGGGAAAAAATATGCATTAAAAAGTATAAATAATAATCTTTGTTTAACCGCACGGGCATCCAAGAACTTTGTTCGTGAGGTAATTATAACATATAATTCTGTGTTTATATAATAAAGTTAGGGATGTTAAACCCTTAAAGTTTGCCATTTAAACCAAATTTGTTCTGGTAGTTTATTATATTAATTTATATTTGATTTCAAAATGAGTCAGACGGTTTAACATCCAGGTACAATATGTACATTACTTACTGCAGTAAGGTTCTTCCCTTTCTTAGGAGCTTTAGAAAAATCTTGAAAACATTATAAAACGAACGATGAAAACTAACAAATTTATATTGTAATATAGCTTAAACTTTTTAGTAAAGTTAACAATCACCCCAATATTGTTAAATTTTACGGTACCTCAATAGGTACGTAATTTCATAGTACACTCAATGTAATCGCACAAAATTTATCGGAAAACAAAACTTTGGTTCAAAGGTATGTATTATCCATTTTGTTTATTATAAATGCCGTATTCCTTCATCAAAGTTTTAATTATAATTTTGACTATCAGCTATATATTACACGGACCAATGCGTCTGTTGCAAGTGACAATATTATTTACACACTATTATTAGAGACTATGCATGGTATCTTCTGCGGCATATCATACAACTTTGTTTAATCTAGATTTTCCACAGACAATAATTTTTGTTAAATCATAAAGCTTATTAATTTAAATTTTTAGATCCGAAAACGAAAAATATTATGTTAATATTACAATTTGCTAATAATGGAAATCTACGACACTTTTTAAAAAGAAAACAAAGCGGGGATATTTATAAAATTTCTTGGACCGAAGTTGTGAGAATAGGGGCAGAAATTGCTTTTGGATTAAGATTCTTGCATGATCATGACATCATTTATCGAGATCTAGTAGGTTTAATTAGCAATGTATTTATTAAATTATATACTGGCTTCAAAAAAGTATAAGCAGGTGTAAACCAATATATCATGGGAAATCTACATAATTTTATTTTTTTGCATTGCGACGAATTTATGAAATTAAGCTAAAATCCGGTAACCAAATTAAAATTGTAGTTACCAAATTAATATTATTAATCACAATACAAACCCTGAAAAAATCTTTCAGACCTCTGATTTAGATTGATAGCGAATCTACAAATTTATTACAATGACGCATTCTGACCTGGTAATTTTGATTATCTTATTCAAAAACCAGTATTTACTTATTAGTAGTCACAATTTTGGGTCATATATTTGCCACAATATGATTCCACGTATAAGGGAAGTCATTGATTTTCATGATATAATTTTCATATGCCTATAACTTTTTAAAACCAGCTACAATTGACTATAGAGAAATTCTAATTTTGTAAATTTCATTAGCATTCTAAAAATATTCTAATAAATAATGGCAAAGCTCTAATTTCCGATTTTGGGATCTCAAAAGAGTTAAATGATTCAGCCACTCCGCAGTGCCTTCAGGATGTAGATTTTAATAAAAAAAACGACATTTATAGTTTAGGAATGTTACTTTGGGAACTTACAAGTGGAACTCCTCCATTTAATAACATTTTTGAAAAAAAAGGTACTTTAGACATTTCACAAAATAAAAGAGAAAAAATTATTGCCAACACACCCTCGGAGTATGTTAACCTTTATGAAAAGTGTTGGTCTTCTGATCCTGCCCAACGCCCATCATTAGACGACATTTTAACTAAGCTTGAAAAATTATCTGCAGAGACCTCTGTAGAATTCATTATTAATAACATCAAATTTGATAATATGAATGAATCGGAAACCTATCGTTAGTTTTTGATTATTATTCATTATATTGATTATTATTCTTTATATGTGGGTCCATTGACTCTTACTAATACAAATATTCAATCTTTTTTACTTTACTGTAACATAGGTGTGCCTACTAAAATTGATAATAATTATTTGATTATTGATAAAATCGTTGAAAAATACAAAATCAATATTCATAATTATAATGAATTTACAAATTGTGTAAAGATTGGTGAGGGTGGATATGGCTGGGTTGAAAAGGCTGTGTGGAAAGCTCGTGGGTCAATGTATGCCTTGAAAAGTCTCAAAATTAAAAATAATTCAAGTGAAATCCTTATCAGGAAATTTGCTAAAGAGGTTTGTTTAACATTATCACGCAATCGTCCATCGTAAAGAAATCAAATTTCTTTAAATTTTTTATTTTAACTTATTAGGTTCAATTGCTAGCCAAGATAGCTAAAAATACTCATTCTAATATCAATCAGTTCTACGGAGCAGTCAAGGATCCTGACAGACAGATTTATTATTTGATTCTACAATACGCAAATGATGGTAATTTACGAGAATATTTAGAAAAAAACTTTACCAAATTAACATGGGACGATAAATTAAATAAATCATTAAATATTGCAACGGGGCTTGAATATTTACATAAAAATAAGATCATTCATAGAGACCTTGTGAGAATAGTATTTTCTTTTTTTTTTGTTTTTTAATGTTTAATAAATTTACAATTTAAATTTTTTCTTACAGCACTCAAAGAATATCCTAGTTCATAACGGTAGGATTATGATTGCTGACTTTGGTATGTCCAAGCTGGCAGATGGAGAATCAATGAGCACAAGTCCTGCAGGTCGTGGAATACCTGCTTATGTAGATCCGCAATATCTCAAAGATAATAGATATGAGCGCGATGAGAAATCAGATATATATAGTCTTGGAGTTCTTTTATGGGAAATTTCAAGTGGCCTTCCACCCTTTAAGCACCTTTCTGGCGTGTCTGAAATGATATATCAAATTTTTCAAGGAAGAAGGGAAACCCCAGTAGTAGGTTCACCAGAGACATATATTCAATTATATAAACGTTGTTGGGACGAAGAACCTGATAACAGACCAGATATTCAAGAAGTAGTTGAAGCACTTCAATTAATGTTAAAAGAGTTAAGTGATGCCAAATCTTCGAACAAACAACTAGACTTACAAAATCTCTCAAAACCAGATACTTGTGGTAAGCGAATACGCATCATCTATTTTTCTTCTATTATTTTGTCAAACGCTATTTCACACGTTCTTTTATGATTTTGAAAGAATACAATATGGAAAGCTATGATTATTCGAAATTTAGTAATTTACAACCCATTAAACAAGGAACAAAAGCACGTGTTTTTTCAGCCGTTTTTCAGGGAAAAATGTATGCGTTAAAATGCACGAACAGAAATTCTCATTTAGATGATAGAACACTAAAAATGGTAACATGTTATTCATTAAGTAGACTTTAATTTTTTAATATGCAAAACTAATGTCAATTATATAGTTTAAAATCTCCGATCATCCTAATATTATTAAATTTTATGGAGTCTCTAAAGGTTTTAGGTTTCTATATACTTTAAATCGAATTTGCAAGCTTTATCGTTTAACATTAGTTTATATCATAAAATTTAGATCCACAAACTAATAATATTATAACAGTGTTACAATTAGCTAGCAATGGAAACCTACAAGACTACTTAAAGGGAAAACAACAAAATGGAGTTTTTAAAATTTCATGGGATAACATTAAACGAATCGCAAAGGAAATAGCTTTTGGTTTAAATCATTTGCATGTTAACGAGATTGCTCATCGGAATCTAGTATGTAACTTAATGCATCAGTTAGTAACAATAATATCCTATGTCGTTGAGTATTAGTGGATAAGAAGTTTCTGCTTATACATATACGGCAAGGGTTATTCGATTATTGCCTCTGACCTTGATATTGTGATCAGAGATTATGTGCTAAATTTCAATTGTCGTCATTTTCACTAATATTAAACCTTTAATAGCATTCTAGAAACATTCTTATAAATAATGGTAGAGCCCTTATCGGATTACCAGAGCAATTAGATGATGTTGCTTCCAGTTTAGATATACATGAAATGGCAGCATATGTTGAACCACAATGCTTTATTCACTCTGAGAAAAAAATTGAACGAGATAGGAAATCTGATATTTATAGTTTAGGTGTCTTGTTTTGGGAACTTACAAGTGGAATTCCTCCATTCTCTAATTTTCCTAAGGATGTCGTTGGCACTTATATTGCGAAGGGTCTTCGGGAAAGTATAATTTCAAATACACCACAGAATTATGCAGATCTTTACATGAAATGTTGGTCTTCTGATCCGGACCAACGTCCACCACTGTATAAAATTCTAAATATTCTTATTGAAATATCAAAAATGGCTGATGGATCTAAATACATTACAAATTATATTTTTGAAAGCGAACATTTTAAGAATTATAATAAGAAAACAACTTACACTGATATAAAAAATTTTTGTAAGTATCTATTCTATATTATTTTGGCTCATCTATACGTTTACAATGTTAAATATTTTATTTATTTATTTATTACCGTTTACAAATAGGTAATGGCTTGCATCTTACGTCAGATACGATTTATTCACCAGACTATATAAATGAATCAGATACGAATAACAAATTACTTAACAATTTACTAAGAGTTTTTTTTTGATTTAACGAACCACGGAAATGAGTTTCAACAAATTTCAAGAACGATAATAAAAATTATTGAAAACAATAATCAGACTCCAAAAAATGTATTTATTAATCTTAACAAAAATCATAATCTCAATTCAGACTTTCAGTGTCTTCTTGGCTTTTTTAATCTGACGGGAATTGGAACTGAAACATATTTTAATGCGGCATTCAAACTATTTGAAAAGATAGCATATGAAAATAATGCAATAGGAAAATTTTACCTTGGAGAGTGTTTTATGTTTGGCTACGGGACTAAGAAAGATTTAAATAAAGCTATTGAATGGTACCAAAAAGCATGTAGAGGATGTGCAAGATCTAATAATGTTTTAGGTAGGTCTTTTGTTATATGATAGGTATAATGTTATAAACAAACGGACTAGCATACAACTTTTTTTAAAAAAAACTAAGAAATTTGATGTATATTCCTGCTTTCAATAATTTAGGAAATTGGTATGAACATGGAATAATAGTAGAAAAATGTGAAGAAAAGGCCTTTGAGCATTATCGAAAGAGCGCTGATTATAATAATCCGCTTGGTCAGTTTAATCTTGCAAGATGTTATGAGGAGGGAATAGGAGTGATAAAGAATTTAAGGTTGGCAAAACATTGGTATGAAAAAGCAGCAAATGATGGTCATAAAGATGCTATAAATCAGCTGAATAATCTTGTGCCAGTACGAAAAAAAACATTTATTAATTTTCTAAGGTGAGCAATTTGTTATTATGTAAAGTCTATAATTTGAAATAGCACGTCAGTTTATAAAATAACTAAGACTAGATTATGTCTTTGCGCATCTGAAGTAATATTAAGCCAAAGAAAAAAAAGGAAGGTAGCAAATAATGCGAAGTAAACGCCGATTTATACAATCTCAATACGTTATCTCCAATTCTTATTTCCCATCCCAATAATTCATAATTGTCAACGTTATGTATTACTTTGCTAAATACTAATGAGCTTCAGCAATAACAACATCTATATTATACTTTATGCCTTTCCGCTATCATAAGATAGCTTACCTGCGCGTTATAATGCGCAGGTGCACGTTATTTCGAGACCCTGCGAATTATTTTGGGACACCTGAAAAGTTCGATCAAATATGTGCAGTCAGCTCTCTTTAAACCGAACCTGGATAAACTCAACACTTAATAAACTCTGTGAAAACTGGACATAAAGCTTCAGAACATTTGTAAAATTTATCATTAAGTTCGGATTAGCAATATAATAACTCTTTGTAAATTGAACTTTTAAATATTTTTACATATAAGAACCTGCTGTTCGGTTTAAAGAGAATTGACTGTAATATGTTATATTTAAGGGGGCGCGTTATTTTGGGACTCGCATAGGCGCTATTTGAGTTGAAATAATGCCCATGTGCGTTATTACGCACAAATATGGTATAATCTCTTACAATCAGCTTTACCAAATTTGATGTTAAATATTATAACCTTAAATAAAAGCTTTTTTATCAATATATCTTTAATAAAAACTTAAAAAATTGGTAAATTCTGAAATTATGTAATCAAACCTAAAAAAGTTATAAAAATATTAGCCTTTATATTAGCTTTTATAAAATAAATCAATTGGTAATATGGGCCGATGCCAAAACCCTCGGGCCTAAAATTACTCGGGTAAGGAGAACAGGCAGACCATTCTACTAAAAAATTTTTCGTCTACGCTATTTGTCGCGGTGTATTTTAATACCCCATGCTATGGTAGCGCCAGGGTTGGATAGCAGCACCCATGTGACTAGTGATCGGGTACGTTAATGTGTTGATCGAACGTCGTGATCTACATAATTAATGCATAATATATCGGGTGATCACGATTTAATTAAAAGTCTAAAATAGTGATTGCATAAACAATGAGTAATCATTAGCGATTAGTAATAATATATAAGGCATCGATCCAAATAGGGAAGTGCCTAGTTTAGGTTCTAGTAATTACCTTGACACTTAGTGAACAAACTGTTGTCTAGTATCGGTGGTAGTATCTGGTACATCATTTAATTGCCAAGCGAGTAAAGATCGATAGTAAAATTAAAGTAATACACGGTAGTCTTAGAAACCTATGTGACACTATTATCATAATTCCTGGGACACCTAATAAAAATTAACCGACCGATTCCTATTTCGGGCACAACGATAATAGGTCAAAATTATTACAGTATATACATAATTTAAGATCAGGTGATTAATCCATTTATCTATTCCATATGAGTGTTGCCAATGTCGCGGGTTAATTAGTGACTTTCGTCACTAAATGACCTAACTCAAATGGGGAAAGCACTTAACGGCAATAATGTATTTTATTTAGATTCACTTAAGGAAAGTAACAAGTTTGTTTTATTATTTACGATCTTTTTATTATTCAATTGACTAACTGAATCTTTATTATTTTATCGCTTCGATCCTTATATACAACCATTGTCTCTTAAATTGATTACATACTTTATTCGATTGTTCATGCCCAGATTAATAATAAACTATTTCGTATCACTTATCAATGTGTAATTGATTCATCCATGATATATTAATTATCTTACTTCGGTATCTCAAATATCTACCGACCGTCCATAATTCTGATCGTTCATCACGTGAGTCACGTGTACAAGACACTAATCGATCGATCGCTTTTACCCTTATCTTTACACATGTTCACTGCATACCATTTATCACCGTGACACCAAGGAAAAGGCCGTTCAGACATTCAAGTATACTAGATTATGATATACTCGAAAGTCCGAACAGCCTTTTTCACTTGGCAGCATCATATTATAAGAGCATACAGCTTTATAAGTTTTGTTCTTGATATATGTTTAGATTTATGCATACGTACCAGACTATACTCTGGAAATTTTGATATTGTACGTTGTTACAATGTAGATTAGTAGGTTACCAGACTATACTCTGGAAATTTTGATATTGTACGTTGTTACAATGTAGATTAGTAGGTGATAATCATGAGTTGTAATTTAGTTAGTATGAAACGCATTCTGTTAATATGAATGCAAATGCTTTAATGTTTATCCATAATCATGTATTTAAGGCGGACCTTTAGATTAATAAAGAGGGAGGATGAGATGTCTAGAAGCCCTCATTAGTGTTCCAAATCGGACCAAAAAATGCAATTGAATAATTGGATAATTTTTTTAAGCAATTGATTGAAAATTGATTGTACCAACTAATCGATTAATTGTTTAATCGATTAATCGATTAATTGATTAATCGACTAATCGATTAATTGATTAATCGACTAATCGATTAAATCGATTAATCAATTAATCGATTGTACTGAATAATCAATCAATTAACTAATTGATTACTAGTAAATTAACATTTAACAATTCTAAAATAATAGTAGTTACTAGCTCTTAAGACCCGGTCGGTGACCGGGTTCGAGTTCCTAATTTTTTGCTAATTCTTAGGCCTCAACATTAATAATTTTTAGGCCTTAGTTTATAAGACCCGGTCGGTAACCGGGTTCGAGTTCCTAATTTTTTGCTAATTCTTAGGCCTTAATATTACTAATTCTTAGGCCTCAATATTACAATATTAG